AATGTTTTAAGTAAAGAAAATGAGGAAGTTTCAATCTGATAGTTTTTATTTTTTCTTTAAAATCTATCTATCTATCTATCTTTCTATCTATCTATATGTATATGTGTGTATACACACACACACGGGCATGTTGCAAGCACTGACAAAACATAATTTTGGTTACTCTTTAGCAACTGCCTTCTCGTCTTTACTGCTGTGGTTCAGTCTTACTAGCATTTACCTCTGGAGTCTGTCATGTGAGCTCACCCAGGATGGGAAGCATGTATAACATTATTTTAACATATATTTTACTTATTATATATTTTTATTTTATTTCTCTCTATATAATAAATTCTACTTGACATCTTACCTCAGGCATTTTAGTGACTCTTCAAATTTAAATGTGAGAAACTGAGAGACTTTGCACCTGCTGTTAATCTGCCTGTAATGTTCACTTCTCTTTATCTAGTTTTCTTGCTTACCCTACAGGTTTCAGTTTAAACGAAACCATTCTCCCTCTCTGACTAGGTCAGTTTTTGTGTTATGGGATCTCATTACATCTCTTATATCTCTTTGTTCATCTCAGTTATAAATTCCATTTTTACATTTGTTACATTTGTTTCTGTGATTATTGTCTTTATCCCTCATTAAAGAACACATTCCAAGAAACAAGAGACAGCATCTCACTATGAAATTAACACCAAGAGCACTGGGCAGGATACGAGTATTTGTTAAATGCATTCTAATGTGCATGTATTGGACTCTCTGACTTATAAACTTTATTTTGACATGTTAGGATAGCACAATCTGCTTTTTCTTCATGTTCCATTTTACTCCATACCTTGGCCAAGCCTATTCCATTTTGAATCTATGGATGTCACAAGCATATCCACAGAACATAATTTTGGACACTCTTTGGTAACTACCTTCTTGTCTTCACCACTATGGATCAGCCTTCCTAGTATTTACCTTTGGAGGCTGCCATCTGAGCTCACCTAGGATGGGCAACTTGTAAAACACAATATTTTAATAAGTAATATTTTAATACACTGGTAAAATAATAGTAACCTATGGAGAAAGTACTATGGTAAAAAAAAAAAAGAGGGATAAGGAGGTTGGAGTCAGATATAGGAAGGCTTGACAAGGAGAAACAAGAGAGGAGGCAGTGGGGCCAAGAGAGAATAAGAAAGAACAGTTGCCTGTCTCATTCTATTATTTTGTGGACTGGAATTGTCTATAACACAGTCTATTTTTTTTTTTTCTTAATAAAAGCTCTCCCTTTAGACAGAGGTCTATTTCAGGACTCTGCTCCAGAAGGCAGTGTTCTCACCACTGCTTTCTCTGCATAAACCCCCATGGAGAAGGGTTTAACTTGGTTCACTCTGAGCTAGTCACTTTCTGAAAATACCCCATCACTCTTAACAAGGCGTTTACACACTGACAAGCTCCAAATAGCCCCACCATGTGAATATGATTCCAATTTTACAGAAGAGAAAACCAATCCAGGAGTTATTGTTTGGTGTACAATAAAAGGTACAGAGGAGGTTACAACAGTGAAGTTTTCAATCCAGGCCTCCTGGTGAGAAATAGCATGATTTTAAACTCTTTTCTAATGCTGCTATAGCTGATCATGTCTCAATAATGTATTAAGCAAATCACTGAAGTTAGAAAGGAAAAAAAGAGTTAAGTTTTTTGAAGCGTTTTCTAACAAACGAATGAAATGTGTTCATGCAGGAAAAGAGACCAAAGGGCAGACCAGTGAATTCTGCAACCCCAGTGAGAAAGCCAAAGTTCTTGGGAGAGAAGGAACATGATTCCAGTAGGTTTAGTCCTTTGTGGAAAATTGAGAGGTGCTCCTCCACCAGAGATATTATGATAGATGGCTAAATAGATAGAAGATAGATGGCTAGTTCACAAATAAGGGGATTAAAAGAAAGTAAGTTATTTTGGTAAATATAAATTAAAGGTATTTTCTCTATAATAACATTTGTTTATGGTGAAAAATACCTCTTGACAAGCAAATGATGTATTGTGGGGGAGTAAGTAATGGCTATACAGTTTATTTGATTACAAGGGCCAGAAATATAGGAGTAAATGAGCAAGATATTTAATTTTACAAATTACATTAATCTTTTTATTACATGAAGCCATCACTTAATAAACATCTTAGTATACTAAAGAGAAGATATTTCCTTCAAACACTAAAAAAAATTTGCTAACCTATAAACATGGCTCAAATGCTTTCTAAATTTATGAGATTAAGACCTTGTATAAGTTAAATAAGGAAAAATATTACTATACATTGATAAAAAATTTTACAGAGTGATAGTTTATAGCAATATTTAAATCAATAAAAACAGCCATGTACAAATGTATTGCATTAAGTAAACTTTATACATTTCACCATTATTTAATCAAGTCAGGTTTCCCCAAAGGTGTGAGAATAAACTAAAGACACTCATGTTGATGCTTTTTCTAATATTCCTAAGTTGTGTCTTACATGATGTCTTGAAACACAGTGATGGATGCCTAACAAAACAGCCCCTCTACACACACACACACATGCCTGCACGTGGCTAGTAGGATTCCAAGGTGAAACAAGTATGAAAAATAATATCTATGTTATCCCCTTCTTGATATGTACAATAAGCATTATCAATTTAAAAGCTCAGAGAAGTCCTACAGTAGAAGTTCTTTAGTATAACTTTGTTTAGGCTATTAATTACCAAATTATTTTGAACACAGACGGTTTGCCATGAGTATGTATTTACATTGTGTATAGTATTATGGCTTTTGGAAGACAGTTGATGAAACAAAAATGTATTTGTATACTCCAGAAGTTTAGGCTTCAACAAATATAGTTAAAAATTCTTATGAATGTATTTTTTGGAATTCTAAAATTTTATGGAGAGAAAAATTATAATTGATGGATTTTATAGCATAGCCTCCCTGAGAATATGCAAGTTTTCTCTCTAAATTAGTTGACCAACTTCTAAAGAAACTATGTTTAGCAATAGGTAAATACGCACATAGCAGTTAACTGCACAGAAAATAATTGCATCAGATCCTAATGGCGATTGAAATTTTTATTTACTGATTCAATTAGTAATTCCCATAGTAACTTAAGTACAAAGTTTTAATCTGTCTTTATTTAAAGTCATTGTCTCTGCTTTTCATCAATTGCTTGTCTATGTGTGAAATTGGTAATTAAAAGGAGGTCACATAAATATGCTTCAGTCTATTGAAAATCATTTGAATTTGCAAATAGAAATTGTTGGAAGAAGAAGTTTAGCATGGATAAAAAGTTAATCATTTCACAATTGAATAAAAATGCTACAAGTTTAGAATTTTCTGGTGAATGAGTTTTTTTTTTTTTCTTTTCTCAAATCCCTAAACTAAACCAATACAAATTTTTATTTCAGGTGTTGCTCTACTTAACATTTGATATACTGGATTTCTCTTAATAGAAAGGACATAAAAACAGAATTTATTGCCCTTGGCTTATTTTTTTTCTCCAGAGAAATAGCCTCTATCTTATTTAGTATGTTTCACAAGCAGAAAAGTAAAGACATATTCCATCAGGGTGTTCAAATCCAAAATACTGAGACATACAAATACGACAAAGAGAAATGAAGAAAATGCAAGTGCCTGCCCATTCTACTAAATTCTATATGATAAATTCTCTCGAGAGAAATTTCAGGCCCAGGGGGACTCAGTTTTGAAATGTGCAATTAAAGGTATTCGTAAAGAATATATCAATTGCAATCAGTTTGCCAGACCTAGAGTGTTTACTTGAGATTTGCCAACGTATGAGACTAAAATGTTCTGTGTTTTTAACATATGTTGAAGAAAACAAAATCACCATGAATCGAAAATAGTGGGACATTTATCAAGGCAAAGTGTTCATCAGTTCTAAAGTTTCCTTTCATTTATGTACTCTAAAAGTGTAACTTTAATAAGTGTTTATGTTTAAAAATAGAGCATTTCTATTCAGATTAACATTTCTCAATATAAGTCAAAAGAAATTCAATTTAACAAAATGCCAATGAATCTGAGAGAAGGGTTGTCTAGCATCTGTAACCTTAGTGAAATAAGATGAAAATAAAAGTATCATCACACCTAACATGTTTAAAATACAAAAAGTAGATTTGGTGATTTAAAATTCCAGGAAAAAGTGTTGGGAGTTAGGATGCTCTGACTGAAAGTAACAGAAAATCACCGTTTCAATGGAGCTATTTGGGTTTTATTTGAAAAGTTACTAATTCACTAATTCAGAAGCTCAGAAAAGAACAGGAAAGGACAACTTCAGGATTGGTGACATGAAAAGAAAACGAACAACTTAGTTTTCTCCCATATCTCTGCTCTCCCTCCAATCTTCACACTTACTGACTTTGCTCTTTGGCTTACCCCGAGTTCCAGACATCATATCCAGACATGGCAACAATGACCACCAGCAAAAGAGATTAATGCTTTTTGTCTACTGATTTTAAAAAGTGAAGAATATTTTCCAAGTGTTTCCCCAACATATTTTTCTTCTCATACAATTGACCAGAACTACAACTATTCCCATACTTTAAGATTATTGGTTGGTAGAATGGAACCTCCATGACTAGCTTAGACAAATCAGAATTCACTTCCTGCTGCCAGGGATGGCTCGAATTCTTTGAGTACAAAGAAGAACAGAAACCTGAACAAAGTTGAGAAATTTTGGGAAGATGTCAGGTGGTGGAGCGCAGTGCTGTAGAGAGTGGAATTTCATAGACCACCTCAAGTGCATGTTATGATACAACCTGCTGTTTTTAAACAATATAAGTAATTTTTTTAAGAATATTTGCATTATAACTACAAAGATAATTATCTAGATAAAATAATCATTGTTAACTGCTTTTATTATTTTATTAGAAAAGCATTTAATGGTTTCCTACTAGTTGCCAGGGACTCTGCTAGAAACTAGGAATAAAATGTTATTTTTATTCTGGGTAGTGTAGTTGATAAAGGTATCATTTAATAAATGGCTTTGCATGCTCACTTCAGCAGCACATATACTAAAACTGTAATGAGACAGAGACAATTAGCATGGCCCCTGCGTAAGGATGACAAGAAAAAGAAAAAAAAAACACACAAAACTTTACTACACAAACTCTAAATTATTTGCTTATAGTTTGTAGTCTATTAAAAATTAATTTTAAAAACTTACCTCATAAAGAGACCATTGCTTTTCCTTGACCTGATATAGAGGAACAATTAATGCAGAGGGTTCCTATAAAGAGGACATAATGTGTAATGTTGGAGGCAATGTCACCAAATTGAGCTCTTCAATATCTAAAACAGGAAATATCATTGGGATGTTTTTATAAAATATGTTTCAACTTGGCCTGTGGCATAAAGGCAAATGACAATTCTCTCTCTCTCTCTCTCTCTCTCTCTCTCTCTCTCTCTCTCACACACACACACACACAAACACACACACCCCTAAAAAGGGCAAAACAACCTGCCCAGGTTGGCAGCACAACTGTCAAACAGTCTGTTTCCTAAGTCAATAGTGGATTGTAAACAGGCTCTAATAAGATAAGGAAATGTTCAGATAAAGTTAAGCAAAGTAAACGTCTTTGCTAAAGGACTTCTTAGAGCTTTAACTATGTTAATACGCAGTTACCAAAACAGCTAACAATTATTGAGAATTTACTGAATGCTACATACTGGCTGGCACACAGTGCTTCTAATATTTTATCTAATCAACACAATAATTCTATGAGGTAGGCACTAATTTTACTTTCTTTTTTAAGATAAAAAAACTGAAACCCAGCTAGAAGCTGAGCTGGAAGAAAGGGCAGCAGGAGGAAGGTGGCTACCTTCTGTAGTTCATTTAAGGGTCTTCTTAGAGTTCAAAATTCTTTCCATAGCTGAACAGAGGGCTTTCTAGAAATAAGATATCTCTCATAAAGTAATTCTGGGTCTGTTCTTCCATATAAGACATGAACACAATAATTGTAACCCAGAACACTGTTAAGCAGATGAATCCATTATAAGAAAAATAAAAAATCTCAGTAAAGTATCTATACAATATCTATGTAACATGATTCTCTATTGAATCAAATTATGTACTCCTAATATTAAATTTTGATGTCTTATACTGAATATTTGGATATAAGCCCATTAATTGATAGGTTTCTGCAGAAGTGATTTTGGGTTTTGGAGGAGTGGATAAAAGTATTTTAAAGAATTGAGCTATATTTAGTATAAACATATAGTGTACATGTTAATATCAGCCCTGACAGGCCAAGAAAAAATAAATTGTACATAAAAATAATATTTTTCAAGATTATTAAAATAAGCATAAACAAATCAGAATACAATTTGGCCTATTTGTAGTTTGTAGTAACAATGAATGCATTATAATTTTAAAGTGTAATTACCATAAGGGAATTGTATAGACATGCCACTTAAGATATTATATCCCTGAATTCCAGGTGAAATATTATTGCTACTAAGACACAGAAGAAAAGGTTAAAGTTATACACAGAGTACCCTATATATTTTATAATTCTTGTTTGCTTTTAAAAGGAATAGTTAGAAAAAAGCAAAAAGTGATAAAAATATAAACACATAATTGTACATAGAGGAGGAAAAGTGAGGTAAAAAGAATACTTAAGACTTTAATATCTCTGCCAACTTTGTAAAAGTATCTAGTATATTACTTTATAGAATTAAAAAGATATATAATTGAAAAAGATGTTTTGCAATTGATTATATTAATATTCAATACACTAACAGTTATAATATTGAAGTAAAGAGGAATAAAATTGACTGTCTTTGTATGATTTAGAGCCACTAAAGTGTCAAATAATAAGAATGTATTTAAAACAGATTTTTTTATTAGTTTTAATCTTGAAAGTAGCCATGAACTGTGACTTGGAGCATTTAACAATATTTAATCTGTGAAAACATGGCAAATGGTAAATCCCTGCATAGCTTGGAAGGAAACATATGCTCTACAAGAGATAAGTGTAAATATGTATACTCTGAGTAGTTTTTCATTTTTAATTCTAAGTTCTTTGGAGTAAATTGCATTTTTGAATTTTAAGCATTTTGTTCAGTTTATTGCAGTAAATTCTTATGCTTCCACAATTATTACTTTTTATAAGGATTTATGTGACAAAAAGAATATAAATTCTTATCACATTAAATTGCCTAATGAATTAAAAGTAAAATAAAATAAATGCATATTTTAAATTAGACTTTCAGTTCTGGGATACATGTGTAGAACCTGCAGGTTTGTTACATATATACACACATGCCATGGTGGTTTGCTGCACTTATCAACCCATCATCTACATTAGGTATTTCTCCTAATGCTATTCCTCTCCTAGTCCTCAACCCCCCAACAGGACCCAGTGTGTGATATTCCCCTCCCAGTGTCCATGCGTTCTCATTATTCAACTCCCACTTATGACGAGAACATGCAGTGTTTGGGTGTTTGGTTTTCAGTTCCTGTGTTAGTTTGCTGAGAATGATGGTTTCCAGCTTCATCCATATCCCTGCAAAGGACATGAACTCATCCTTTTTTATGGCTGCATAGTATTCCATGGCGTATATGTGTGCCACATTTTCTTTATCCAGTCTATCATTGATGGGCATTTGGGTTGGTTCCAAGTCTTTACTACTGTGAATAGTGCTGCAATAAACATGTATGCAAAAAAAATGCATTTATTTTATTTTTAAATCAAATTAAATTTAATTTAAGTTCTGGGATATATGTGCAGGATGTGCAGGTTTGTCACATAGGTAAACCACACATGCATTTTTTTTTTTTTTTTTTTTTT